AGCGACACTTTAAAGGGAATGTTGCTGGGAATGTTAGTAGAAGTAAAAATAATAACTTGAATAATAACGCATATAGTCTAATGACGCAGACATTTGAAGGATGCCTTGTCGCCCCCTTGAGTACGGAGGTCTGTAACAGGACCACATACTTGCAAATCATTGACCAAGCATTCTGCCTTCGAGAACTTGCGTAAAGTATGTTTCTGACCTAAATGTCAATGACATTTTAACGGTATCCAGTTTAATTATTGAAAGCAAGGTGACAATGGGGAGTCAAACATCTTTCATTGAAGTCTTGCTTTTCTCTTCTGCTTCCCGAAATTGCCCACCAGAGACATCATGATTCCTGGTAATCGAATGCTGATGGTCATTTTATTATGCCAAGTCCTACTGGGAGAGAGCAGCAATGCTAGTCTAATACCCGAGGAAGGGAAGAAGAAAGCGTCGGCTCAGCACCTGGGTCAGAGTCATGAACTGCTGCGGGACTTTGAAGCCACGCTGCTGCACATGTTTGGGCTGCAGAAGCGACCGCGACCCAGCTACTCGGCTGTGGTGCCCCAATATCTGCTGGACCTGTATCGCCTGCAGTCAGGGGAGGCCGAAGATGCCGGAGCCCACGACGCGAGCTTCGATTATCCCGAAAGGTCCACGAGTCGCGCAAACACTGTGAGAGGATTCCATCATGAAGGTAAGACAGCGGAGACGGTGGCACTTGACAAATGCAGACTCAACCCAACATTTAAAAAGTCTCTGCACCACCACACTTTGTCATGTGCATCCTGTCGAGGGACTTTTCTCAGCATGCAATTATTTTTAATGCTACTCTACAGATTTCTAAATAAAATCCTGTTGCCAGCAATGCGGTCTCTTAGGCGGACAGAATTCCCAGAAGGCTTCAGAAAAATACACATTAAGTATCAAGATGATAGAAGGCCATCAGCATAGTTAAACAGTTTATTCTTGTTATTTTACTTTTCTTTTTACCTGCATACAAATGAGTAAGAGTTGAGAGATTCAGCTACATTGAAAAATGGACAAGGAATAAGTGGAGTGGATACCACTGAAAATAAGAGTGCATTGCTAGAGTCACCAGACATAAACATGTTGGTCAATATGACAAATATGATTTTTTTGGGCTGTTTACAACTTAATTTAACTGTAAACAAAAGCTAAATCAGCTCTTTGATACATGTTATTATTTGGATCAATACTAAATGAATAAATATATGAATTATTAAATGATTAAATTAAATACTAAATGATTTGAGAACAATCTTATAGATTCTGGTAAGAGGAAATATCCACTACAATGCTAAAAACAATTCACCTAGAGACAAGACAAACATGGCAGCAATATTATTACAATATTGATATCTGTATTAAGTTACTTGACGTCCTCTCTCATGCAACTCTGTGAGTCTTCTATCAGTTTCTTATTCTTCTGAATGATGCTTTCAGTGGAGACTCCCGAGTTTATAGCCATCTGTTCAATAAAGTAATTTTAAAGTCAAAATGAGAGAAAGAGAGTGATATGAGAGATATAAAAGTTGGAGATGTAGGAAACTAGTTACCTGGATGAGAGATCCGTAATACAGTTTTATTCTAGACAGCAATTCTGATTTGACTGCCATGACTGACCAATCAAAACCAAGTAGGAGCCGTGTAATATGGAAAGAGTGAAATAACAGGAATTGATATGAAATGTTTTCCAATATTGGTAATATTGCTTGAAAATCTGTAGGTTGAGCATCAGTGCATTAGCATGTATTACTTTGCATCTCTACAATGTATTGAATTACATTGTAATTAATGCTAGGTATCATTATAGTAGATAATTGTGTTCATAGTATTCATGTTGGTTACACTTTATTTTAAGGCGTCCTTGTTACAATGTAATTATACATTTAAGTACTGAGTAATATTAAAAAAACGACATGTACTTACGGTATGGTTAGGGATAGGGTTTGGCTTAGGGTTACTTGCATGTAATTATGCACAATTAAGTGTTATTATAATAGTAAGTACATGTAACATGTGTAACAAGGAGACATTAAAATAAAGTGTTACCTTCATGTAACACTTCAAAAACCTAAAATGACTGTGTCATTTATTCAAAGAGCATTTTACTCAAATAAACGAAAATCATGGATTCTGGTTTAAACCATGTTTGTTCAGTTCAGTTTTCTTTGAACAATCCTCAGAAAATTAAAATAGACAATTTTGTTTAAATAGTATTTTAGTGTTGATGTGCAGATCATATAATGACTAGATTTACTGACTGCAAGAAATTGTGGGTTTTTTATCATTTTCTGCTGGTGTTTTTGTGTGTGACATCACAATTTTTATAGTAAGTAAACTAAAACTAGAAAATTATAGCTATAGCATATTATAACTAATTTAGTTTTTGTTTATATTAAATTGGTGCTGTCAAACGATTAATCGCATACAAAATAAAAGTTTTTGTTTGCATAATACTTGTGTGTGTTCTGTGTATATTTATTATGTATATATAAATACACACATACAGTATATATTTTTGAAAATATTTACACGTATTTACATGTCTATGTTAATATTCATATAATTTAGATTATAAATAAATATATTTAATATATAAACATAACCTATTTTTCTGAAATGTATACATGCATTTGTGTGTATTTATATATACATAATAAATATGCACAGTGCACACACATATTAAACTTTTATTTTGGATGCGATTAATCGTTTGACAGCACTATATTAAATCTAAATGTAAGGTTTGAACCAAACCATAAATATAATTTGAGAAAACTGATACATTAGAGTATTTTTTGATCCAAAGTATCACAGTTAGGATGCCTAATAAGAATTTGCTACTGTATCATTTCAAAAACTGGGTCATAATAGTGTACCTTCTACCAGTTTCTTGAGCTGTCCTCTGATTTTCCTCCTCTAGAGCACATGGAAGAGCTGCAGTCAGACGGCTCACCGGAGACTCCTCTGCGCTTCGTCTTCAATCTCAGCAGCGTCCCAGAGGAAGAACTCATTTCTACCGCAGAGCTTCGTATCTACAGGCAACAGACAGATGATGCAATCTCAGATCCCCAACCCACGGGAGACGACGGTCTCCACCGGATAAACATATACGAGGTGCTGAAGCCCCCGCGGGCCGGGCAGCTCATCACGCAGCTGCTGGACACTCGACTGGTGCGCCACAACACGACCCGATGGGAGAGCTTCGACGTGAGTCTCGCTGTGCTGCGCTGGACCCGCGACAAGAGCTCCAATCATGGCCTGGCCGTGGAGGTGGTGCCCCTGAACCCAACCTCGCTTCACCAGGGACTCCACGTACGCGTAAGTCGCTCCTTGCATCCGCTTCCGGAAGAAGACTGGAACCAGCTTCGCCCGCTGCTGGTCACGTTCGGGCACGACGGCAAAAGTCACCCGCTGACGCGGCGAGCGAAGCGCAGCCCAAAGCAAAGAGGTCGCAAGCGCAACCGAAACTGTCGGCGGCACGCGCTTTATGTGGACTTCAGCGACGTGGGCTGGAACGACTGGATCGTGGCGCCGCCCGGATATCAGGCGTACTACTGTCACGGGGAGTGTCCGTTCCCTTTGGCCGATCACTTGAACTCCACCAATCACGCTATTGTGCAGACGCTAGTGAACTCGGTAAACACCAACATTCCCAAGGCCTGCTGCGTTCCCACCGAGCTCAGTGCAATCTCCATGCTCTACCTGGACGAGACGGACAGGGTGGTGCTGAAAAACTATCAGGAGATGGTGGTGGAGGGATGTGGCTGCCGCTGACCGGGCCACAGATACACCCTGGACACTTATTTATAACGTCCGTGTTGAGATGTGTGTTTCTTGTCTCCTCGATCATATATTTTGACAAAAAAGTATATATAAATATATATTTATATCAACATAATTAAAAAATAAAAGCGTCCTTATTTTAATTATAATTCAGCTGTACAGCTTTTCATAATGTATATCAGACTGTACAAGGGTTTTTCTATGAGCTAGAAGAATTAGCCACTAAAAAGTTGATTTACTGGTAAGTATTTATTTCTTTAATACAATATACATTCACCAAATGCGTAGCCAAGCGACCCCCTCAGAAAGCATCGTTTGTGTACTTCAAATAGAGCACTGTGTGAAATGCTAGGAAAACTGATTTTCTTGCTATATCAGACGAAGAGATCAGATGTGTATTGATGTGCATCAGCATGTGATTTACATGTTCCCAAAATAACTTTGTCGTTAAATAAATTGTGAAAGATTCCAACAACAACGTGAGATTAATAAAAGGCAGTGTGACGCTCTGTTTAAAGAACAAAATCATGATATACAGTTCTGTAGTGCAGTTGTGTGTGTGTGGGTATACAGTTCTAAAACCTTATGTATTAATATCAGTTTGCTCATTTTCAAACATATTTTGTGAATTATTAACTGCCTAATGCTGATTTTGCATATTAGCTGCAAGCTACTTTTCCACCTAATCCCAGTTTATTTTAAAGCCTCTACTGTATGTATGTCCAAAAATAGCACACTTTTAAAATGAAGAAGGAATCATGTTTATTACATATTATACATGCCATTTGGCATCAATGACCTAATGAAAAAGAAAAACATTTTCTTGTACAGATCAATGTCCAAATATGTAAACAAAGACCTATTTTAGCACATTTGCAGAGAGAGTGTTCTAAAACGTTTCATTTTGGTAATTAATACGGCAATTAATCACTTAGAATCAAGTAACAATGCAATCAAAGAAAAACATGTGAAATGCCATAAAGCCTGTCAAGAACATGTCTGGGTGATATACAGTAGGCTAATACCCCCTGTACATCCCACTTCTCATTATTTTAATGCAAAAAAAATATAAAAAGTTATTTTACATTACAGAAATCATTAACTAATCAGAATTATAACTGAGAAAAATATATATATATATATTTTTTTTTTGCACGCATTTTATATCTACACATTTCATTTTGGGGTGAAAGTACATGACGCAGGCCGGAGAGTGAATGCATGATCATACCTCAAAGAAACTGATTTTATAATTGTTACCCGTCGGGTCCAGCAGACGCAGCTTCACAGCAGTCCTCATCCAGGTGCGCACAATAGCGGCTAGACTGCGCGACTCTGGCGACACGGCGCTGCGCGACAAATCAAAGGTGAGACGATGTGCAGACAGAGCATCAGCAGACTGAATATATTTATTATGTATATATAAATACACACATACAGTATATATTTTTGAAAATATTTACACGTATTTACATGTCTATGTTAATATTCATATAATTTAGATTATAAATAAATATATTTAATATATAAACATAACCTATTTTTCTGAAATGTATACATGCATTTGTGTGTATTTATATATACATAATAAATATGCACAGTGCACACACATATTAAACTTTTATTTTGGATGCGATTAATCGTTTGACAGCACTATATTAAATCTAAATGTAAGGTTTGAACCAAACCATAAATATAATTTGAGAAAACTGATACATTAGAGTATTTTTTGATCCAAAGTATCACAGTTAGGATGCCTAATAAGAATTTGCTACTGTATCATTTCAAAAACTGGGTCATAATAGTGTACCTTCTACCAGTTTCTTGAGCTGTCCTCTGATTTTCCTCCTCTAGAGCACATGGAAGAGCTGCAGTCAGACGGCTCACCGGAGACTCCTCTGCGCTTCGTCTTCAATCTCAGCAGTGTCCCAGAGGAAGAACTCATTTCTACCGCAGAGCTTCGTATCTACAGGCAACAGACAGATGATGCAATCTCAGATCCCCAACCCACGGGAGACGACGGTCTCCACCGGATAAACATATACGAGGTGCTGAAGCCCCCGCGGGCCGGGCAGCTCATCACGCAGCTGCTGGACACTCGACTGGTGCGCCACAACACGACCCGATGGGAGAGCTTCGACGTGAGTCTCGCTGTGCTGCGCTGGACCCGCGACAAGAGCTCCAATCATGGCCTGGCCGTGGAGGTGGTGCCCCTGAACCCAACCTCACGTCACCAGGGACGCCATGTACGCGTAAGTCGCTCCTTGCATCCGCTTCCGGATGAAGACTGGAACCAGCTTCGCCCGCTGCTGGTCACGTTCGGGCACGACGGCAAAAGTCACCCGCTGACGCGGCGAGCGAAGCGCAGCCCAAAGCAAAGAGGTCGCAAGCGCAACCGAAACTGTCGGCGGCACGCGCTTTATGTGGACTTCAGCGACGTGGGCTGGAACGACTGGATCGTGGCGCCGCCCGGATATCAGGCGTACTACTGTCACGGGGAGTGTCCGTTCCCTTTGGCCGATCACCTGAACTCCACCAATCACGCTATTGTGCAGACGCTAGTGAACTCGGTAAACACCAACATTCCCAAGGCCTGCTGCGTTCCCACCGAGCTCAGTGCAATCTCCATGCTCTACCTGGACGAGACGGACAGGGTGGTGCTGAAAAACTATCAGGAGATGGTGGTGGAGGGATGTGGCTGCCGCTGACCGGGCCACAGATACACCCTGGACACTTATTTATAACGTCCGTGTTGAGATGTGTGTTTCTTGTCTCCTCGATCATATATTTTGACAAAAAAGTATATATAAATATATATTTATATCAACATAATTAAAAAATAAAAGCGTCCTTATTTTAATTATAATTCAGCTGTACAGCTTTTCATAATGTATATCAGACTGTACAAGGGTTTTTCTATGAGCTAGAAGAATTAGCCACTAAAAAGTTGATTTACTGGTAAGTATTTATTTCTTTAATACAATATACATTCACCAAATGCGTAGCCAAGCGACCCCCTCAGAAAGCATCGTTTGTGTACTTAAAATAGAGCACTGTGTGAAATGCTAGGAAAACTGATTTTCTTGCTATATCAGACGAAGAGATCAGATGTGTATTGATGTGCATCAGCATGTGATTTACATGTTCCCAAAATAACTTTGTCGTTAAATAAATTGTGAAAGATTCCAACAACAACGTGAGATTAATAAAAGGCAGTGTGACGCTCTGTTTAAAGAACAAAATCATGATATACAGTTCTGTAGTGCAGTTGTGTGTGTGTGGGTATACAGTTCTAAAACCTTATGTATTAATATCAGTTTGCTCATTTTCAAACATATTTTGTGAATTATTAACTGCCTAATGCTGATTTTGCATATTAGCTGCAAGCTACTTTTCCACCTAATCCCAGTTTATTTTAAAGCCTCTACTGTATGTATGTCCAAAAATAGCACACTTTTAAAATGAAGAAGGAATCATGTTTATTACATATTATACATGCCATTTGGCATCAATGACCTAATGAAAAAGAAAAACATTTTCTTGTACAGATCAATGTCCAAATATGTAAACAAAGACCTATTTTAGCACATTTGCAGAGAGAGTGTTCTAAAACGTTTCATTTTGGTAATTAATACGGCAATTAATCACTTAGAATCAAGTAACAATGCAATCAAAGAAAAACATGTGAAATGCCATAAAGCCTGTCAAGAACATGTCTGGGTGATATACAGTAGGCTAATACCCCCTGTACATCCCACTTCTCATTATTTTAATGCAAAAAAAATATAAAAAGTTATTTTACATTACAGAAATCATTAACTAATCAGAATTATAACTGAGAAAAATATATATATATATATTTTTTTTTTGCACGCATTTTATATCTACACATTTCATTTTGGGGTGAAAGTACATGACGCAGGCCGGAGAGTGAATGCATGATCATACCTCAAAGAAACTGATTTTATAATTGTTACCCGTCGGGTCCAGCAGACGCAGCTTCACAGCAGTCCTCATCCAGGTGCGCACAATAGCGGCTAGACTGCGCGACTCTGGCGACACGGCGCTGCGCGACAAATCAAAGGTGAGACGATGTGCAGACAGAGCATCAGCAGACTGAATACAGACGCCTGGCAGGCTCTAAATCTCTCATTTACTGCCCTATTCCACGATCACACCAACGGAAGCCCTTTGAACTGTCGATAAGCGTCGTTTGGCATCACTGGTCCATCATCTTTCACTCTTTTGTTAAATGCTTTTCGGGTTTAAGGCTTAAATTGATCAAATCCTCTGGTGCTACTACCTACAGCTTGCGCGAATATAGACACTTGTTAAAAATATTGTGAAGGATTTCTGTCAAAACTTGGATTCAGTCATAATGGGGTCCAATAAGAATCTCAAAGAAAGACTAAATACTAAGTGAAATGCCTTTTAATTCTTATTTGATTAGTTCGGGAGGATATAATCGTTATGCTAGACATTTCCATTAGGGAAAACGCACACATACATAATAGACAGACAGATAGATAGACAGATAGATAGATAGACAGATCATTTATTTAATTTGAATTAAATTTATATTTCTATTTTTGACAGGAAAAAAAGTTTTGGCACAAAGATTATTAGAAAATATTTTGGTATGGTGCATTAATAGCATTTTGGTGATCTGATCATCAGTGTTGGGGAGTAACTAGTTACATGTAACGGAATTAATTACAAAATAAAAGTAATTGTAATCAGTTACAGTTAGAAAAAATTACCGTTACTTATGAAAATGTATGGATTACAAAGGGGTTACATCTGATTTTTCACACACACACACACACACACACACACACAGCTCTAAAATATGAAACACCAATGTTTCAGAAGTTTAGAACGTGCTTATTCGATAACTCTTTTATTTCCTATATGGGTTTATGTATAGCTATGCTTCATTTTTTAAGATTAAATGTTTTTTTCCAAAGTATTGTTATTCCAGTGTTTCCTGTCATAGCTATGCAAAGATTTGATTTCAAAAACAGCATCATAGCTAATACAATATGTCTTGTTATGATTGTAAATATGTATTTAAGCTCAGAATGATCTCAAAGTAAGTCTGATTTTGTGGCTGTGCTTCAAATGGGACATTGGATGGCCATCTTCCACAAGTTTGAAAAAGAAAATTCCACATTTTAATTTTCAAAACTTTTTCATGCACTGTGTTTCCTGAGATGACCCATTTACAGCGATGAACGTGCAAGAGAAGCAGCATCACATCTAATCTTTGAAGAGAAAAAAAGCCCACAACATTTGTCTTCTCTCTTTGCAAAGCTTTAGTCAAATTACCTCAGCCTGGAGGTACAGGCTTGCCACTTTTCCTTTGAAGACTATATCAGACACAGGTTTGTCAGATGAGGGAAGGTAGGAATTTCATTTTGAAGTGGCTTAGGGCAGAGGCTGAGCTTTTCCAAGTTTTCTTGGAGCAGATGCACATCGACTGGCCTCCCTCCATCAAGATAACATCGCTCATATCACACCAGACCCTCACAGAAGGATGCACAGAATCACCTGCTGCAGTTACAACGAAATAACCAACAACTTGGGTGCAATCTTTGAAAGGAGTGTTTTTAAAATCCACGCAAGAGTCTCATCTAATGGGTCTCTTTATGTGTGCATTAAGGCCGTTTTATCAAAGTCACTTGGTAGTTGGTTCAGATGAAGTAGGTTTGTTGTTTCTCTCTGTGCGGTCCGCAGCTCGGTCTTGTTTCATCATGCACCCTCGCGGCAGCTCTTAAGCGGTGGATGTGTGGCTTGTTTTGATGGCAGGGGATCAGTTGGCTAATAACGGCTGATGTCAGTGCAGGTGGAGGTCAGATCCTCTTGTTTCACTCCCCCGCTCACTGCACCGTATTCATGCACGGCCCCAAGTGTACCGAGCAGGAGCCAAGCGGGTGACACACTAGAAGCGGCTGGGTTATGCAGGGTTATTCATGTCACACAGTCTCGGCCTGGTCCTTTGCTCTGGGCTCTGAGTTGCATCTGAGATCTGGATCATTAAGCTGGAAGTAGCTAATGAGGGATCTGCATTAACACTGCAAACAAAACTCAGTCTTTCCCTTGAAGGATCAAAAGTCATGAACCCGGAAGAATACAATCTAAGAAATCTAAGACTAAGCAGCTTTATCACTTGAACTATTCAGTAAAATTCTGCTTGCAGAGCTTAACTTGTTTTGAACCCACAATACACTCAGGCCATCCAAGATCAGGATGAGTTTGTTCTTCATCAGGTTTGTAGAAATGTAGCATCGCATCAGTGTCTCAGCAATGCATGCTCTGCAGTGAATGGGTGCCGTCAGAATGAGAGTCCAAATAGCTGATAAAAACATCACAATAATCCACAAGTAATCCACAGCACTCCAGTCCATCAGTTAATGTCTTGTGAAGTGAAAAGCTGTGTGTTTGTAATAAGTCCAACATTAAGATGTTTTTAACTTTAAACTGTTGCTTCTGGCTAAAATATGAGTCCTCTATCTATAATCCTTCTAACTATAAAGGTCACCTGGTCTGAATCAGGAGAGAAATCTACTCATATTTGGTACCATTTACAAGCCAAAACAGCTCTAAACAAATATGTGGCTAGATTTTGATGTGAGACAACAGGAGATGGACTTTTCACTGGAGGAAGCTTTCTTATGGATTATGGACTCGTATGTCTTAATGCTGGATTTGTTTCTTACATCTTTTGTCTTCTCCAGATGGTAACTGCTGGACTGGAGTGCTGTGGATTACTTGTGGATTATTGTGATGTTTTTATCAGCTGTTTGGACTCTCATTCTGACGGCACCCATTCATTGCAGAGCATCCATTGCTGAGACACTGATGCAGTGCTACATTTCTCCAAATCTGATGAAGAAACAAACTCATCTCGGGTGGCCTGAAAATGATTAAATTTTCAGCAAATTTTACATTTTAGATGAACTATTATTTGAATTCCATTTTTTCCTCAAGGAAAATATTGATCAGACTTGTAGGTCAGACTAGTTAAGACAGTCTAAGTTTATGCAAAGTAATCCCAGATGTTTTCAAATGTTTTAATGAAGAAAACCGCAAATATGATGTTCCTTTTGCAGCTATATATGTTCATGCAGACTCGTTTATACCACGCGAGAAAAAAATAACCATGATATAAAAACATGGTGTTCACAAAATTTAATAATGGGATTTTATGTTGTACTAGAAAGCATTTAAAATATCACAAAAATAATTTTTTTTAGTTTTAGAAATTAAAAAGTATAACAGTAATCATATAAAATTGTCAAATGTGTTTAAAAAATGATTGCTTTAAACATTTTATCCCAGACTGCACTTTGGAAATCCCTGCTTCAAAGTGCGGTCACATTTACGGTTGCTCGAGGCAAAATCCAGTCAAACCAATAGGAATCAGAGGCATTGAGAGTTTTGTGTGAAGAGACAGTTCCACGTGCAGATTTCACAACGGGTTCATGTTGGTCTCATGAATTGGCCGCGCAGATCAACAGAAAGCTGCGTGGTTTGAAAGTGACTTCTGTGTGCTTCATACATCTCATACTGACAATAGACAATGAATCTGTTTCTGTATACGAGATTTCGCTGAAATTTAGCTAATATGATGGCATCCTTAGACTATTGCACTGAGAAAATATTACAAAATTCTAAATATTACAAAACTGTTTTCTATTAAAAGGGTCATCGAATGCAAAACTCACTTTTACATGTTATTTGAACATAAATGTGTGTTAGCAGTGTGTGTACACAACCACCCTATAATTATAAAAATCCACCCAGTGGTATGTTTTAAATCTCTATAAATAATATCCCCTTTCTCAAATCAAGTCATTCTCAGATTCTTGGCTGTGTGACGTCACACAGACCCAGGCCCCTCCCACGATTGTTGATTGACGCTGGTGTTTTAGCTTAGCTCCGCCCTGAGTGACTGTCATCACTCCGCCATTGTTTCACCGCCGGAGCAGATGTAGACCAGAATGACTCCTGAGTGATCGAGGTGTTCTGTTGTTGGATGTAATAATGAACAGCAGTCGTCATTTACTCCCGACATCTGAGCCGCTGAAGACGCAGTGGATTACATTGTTTCTGAAGGGAATGCGCCGCCCGATCTATATAAATGCGTCTATGTTCACACGAATCGAAGAAGAAGTGAGTATGAGGTTCTTTAATGAATCTTTGCAAATCGTCTTT